TTTCGTCCGATTTCATGCAAATGGTGCCCCAAAGTCCCTATATATATTGCGATTTGCACGAAATTTGGCATAACGTACTGAATTGAGTCTAGAATGATGTCTGCCAAGTTTCGTGAAAATAGGTCAAGATTTAGATATAGCTCCCATATATAGTTTCGTCCGATTTCATGTAAATGGTGCACCAAAGTCCCTATATATCTTTCGATTTGCACGAAATTTGGCAGAACGTACTGAATTGAGCCTAGAGTGATGTCTGCCAAGTTTCGAGAAAATCGATCCTGATTTAGATATAGCTCCCATATATAATTTCGTCCGATTTCATGTAAATGGTGCACCAAAGGCCCTATATATCTTTCGATTTGCACGAAATTTGGCATAACGTACTGAATTGAGCCTAGTGTGATGTCTGCAAGGTTTCGAGAACATCGGTCCAGATTTCTATATAGCTCCCACATATAGTTTCGTCCGATTTCATGTAAATGGTTCACCAAAGTCCCTATATATCTTTCGATTTGCACGAAATTTGGCAGAACGTATTGAATTGAGCCTAGAGTGATGTCTGCCTTGTTTCGTGAAAATCGGTCCAGATTTAGATATAGCTCCCTTTTATTATAGATTAATTTTAAGTAATTGACGCACCAAGGAACCAATAGGAACAAAACGTTCTGAAATTAGTATAACCTAACCTGTGACAAGTTTGTTTGAAATCGCTTAATATTTGGATAGAGCTTCCATATATATTTTCGCCCGATTGATGTCAGATTGACATCAAATTTTGCACAACGTACAAAATTGAGCATAGAATTACGTAGTTGCGTTTTCTAGAAGTACAGACATAGCCCAACGGATGACCTATTTATATTTGTTTGAAGTCGATTTACATACTTTATGGATAGATCTAGGTGGATTCACATTTAGATAAATATCACATATTTTATATCATCCAATTTCATATTAATAGCCCTGTTTAATATACCCATAGTGGTGAAGGGTATCATATAGTCGGCCCCGTCCGACTTTACTACTTTCCTTACTGGTTTTCTATTCAATTCGAAGCTACACTAATTCACAAAAGTCTATTTCAATGTCCAAATAAAAATCTCAACAACTCTTAAAGATATAGCCGATTTATTGTGTTAGCATCAAGCGACGACAAGAGCGTCTTTCAAACTTTAAACACGCTTTTCTCTTACTTCTTCGAAAACGACGATGGATCATACGAAAATCGACTTTTTGACATTTGGACACAAATTGTACCTACATACTTGAATGCATACACCAACACTATGGTTATTTGTGATACCATTTGTATTATATTTATACAACATAGTCAGGCTTAATTCCAGTGTTTTTATACCCTTCACCACACTGTGGTACAGGGTGTTATGTCTTTGTGCATATGTTGGTAAGAATATGCAGAATTGTATACAGTACTGATCGCATTTATAATCTGATTTGGATGAAATTTGGCAAAACTCAAGGACGAATCCTATTAAAATTGGAGAAAATCGGTGGTGCACCAAAGTCGAATCTTTGCATAGCGTACTATATATATATATATATTCGTCCGATTTTAAGTCAGGGCCATAGCTAGGCAGATTGTTACAATGTACTGAAGTTAATATAAATTAATCGCTGGCAAGTTTTTCTTGAAATCGGTTCAGCTATAGATATAGCATAGCTACTATTTATAATTTTGACTTATTCAAGTTAATTGTACACCAAATAATCAGTAGGTGTCTGATTGAGATTATATTATAAACAGTGCATTGCAGAATGACATGTGTTGGGATTGGTGTTAGTCGGTCTAGATATAGATAAAGATCACATATTGAAAATCGTTAAATTTATTAACAATGTTCCTTCTAAAAGGCGACGTCTTTTAGCATACATTTGTAGAATATACCCAAAGTGGTGAAGTGACTTTACTACTAAAATACAAAGGGGTAAGACAGAAGAGTATAGTTTCGGATCACGCAACTGATCATCATCAGTTCCCTTAGTTTTTTTTTTTTTTTTGGATATTCTCTTCGGAAGCTATTTATAGCTTCCTTACAAAGAATCTTTTATACACAAAAGTCGTTTGAACAAATCAAAGTACCTTCGTTACCAGCGATACCACCTCACTGAGAAGTTTTTGTTGCCTGAATTCGTGGTTAACAAGGCATTTGAAGACAAATGCATACGTTTCCCAATGATATGTGTCGTTACTCTGCGACGAATGCACATAACGTTGTTTTTGGTATTGCTAGTTAAATCAATATACCAAACAGTTTGACCGTGCCTGCGTCTACAACATTAAATAACCCGCCAACACTACTGATATCAAAGTATAGAGGCTATTGAACAGCTTGTACCTATATTGACGATTTTCCGATAGGAAACATTAAGCATTTCTACGAAGAAGTTCTATACCCGTCAATCATCCGGAATGTCAAAATATAGTCTCGTAGGCTGCAAAAGGAGCTAAACTACTAAAATTAGAACATATGACAATGTAAAACCCGGATAGATGATCCGTCAGAAACTGTGACATATTTCACTCACTACATATTTCAATCTGAATATGTAAAGCTGGGTCGATTTAAGGCAAACTTAACATACGTAATTTGGTATGGTGCAGCACAGCGCTCAATTACATCTTAATCAGGCTAAATTTGTAATTGCAATTGGAAAATCGTTGGATACACAGACCAATTCAGATGAAAATATATAAGTGATCTGTGCCTATATTTGAAATAGAACAAATGTTATGCAAACTTTCTAGAAGTCAGAATAAAATATATGTGGGAGGTAAATGTAAACAAATTCCGACAAAACTATATTCAGTACAATATTTCGGACAAATATCGAAATATTTATCGTTTTTTTTAATTCGGATGAAACTATATAGGAGAAGTTGGTCTAAATAGGACTAATTTCAATAAAGTTCGTCCTTGGATCAAATAAAATCTCATCCAATTCTGATCATAAATGCAACCTTTACTTTACAGTACTTCATTCATAATGGACGAGGTGTTTGGATAACCATCCCTCTGAAAAATACATCGTCTACTTGATAGTCGCTCTTGTCTACAAAATCGAGAAGACGAGTCCAAAAAATTCCTTTATAGTCTTGCAAAAGTCCCTCCAAAATCACAAGTTTGCACTTGTTTACCGTCGAGGTTCTAAATATCGCCTTTTTATTATTCCCGACAATGCAGATTTTTCACATTACTTCGAAGACTTTGACGACGTCTTTGTACACTGTTTGGCTCACTTTAAGTTTTTCAATTTCCCTGGAAGAACACTATAGAGGAGAGATGTATGGTTCATAGATCCAGGACCAGGAGAGGGCCAGCCACACATGTATCGGGAAACTAGATTTGATATATTTCTAAAACTACATGTTGCCTTGTATTGAAATTTATAACTTATACATTGTAGTCATTTAAATAAAAATATGTATGATTTTATGGGATCAAATAAAATGTTATATTCTCATTTATTACAACATTCATGAAAACCACGCATCTGGTCACCCCAAATTGTCTATTAGCACGTGCAACATAAAACACCCTTAAATATGAAAAATCAAAACAAACTGTTGATTGTGGAAAACCACGTGTTGCACAAACAACCAATTGGGAGAGAGAGAGCGGGCAAAATAACACACCGCAAAAATGTAAACAAATAGAGAAACATAATGTAGCAAAGGAGAAAAACACTCAAAGAGCGCCTGCCCCCACAAACATGCACACAAGTATTAGCCGAAGTCAAGAAAGCTTTTCAAAGAATTCACCCCCACATAAATAACAAACAGAGAAAACAATTGGAAAATCTGCAAAGAGTCGTCCAACGGCGAATGTGGGGCTTTTGAGTGAAAATTGTGGATGGATGCTCCAAAACGTTTGTCGCTCGTTGATTCGTCTGTTGTCGTTCGTGCGGAAGGAAAACTCGATGGAATTTTTGGCAATAGTCGAGCAATGACGATGATTGTGCCGTTAGTTTTAAACAAAACGTGTGCGTGTACGGTAGGAGTTTTGTGCGATTTCGTGTCGTTGTCTCGTTGCGTTCCATAGAAAGTGAACGGACACAAAACGCTATGCCAAGTGGTCCAAAATTGAACACACTCTAAATAAATGATCGGTCAAGATACTAAGCCAATTTGATGAGTGTTATTATCTGTGAAAAGTGGTGTTGAAAATATATACATTTTTATTTCTGAAAAAATAAATAAAATAAAATAATAGTGTTTGAATAAATTTTTTGATTTGAAGTGAGAAAAAAATTTTGAAAATTTATTTTGTTTTTTTGTTGGTATTGGAATCAAATTTTGCTTTACATATCAATGCCAATTTATCCATCATCATGTCGTGGTCAAAACATTAACAGTTTACATATTTCATAGTGTAAACGGGATTTTGTCTGAGTGTGTGGGATATATACGCACAATTTGTGTGCCTGTTGGTCAGTCATTTTGATCGGCCTTTAGTGGCATTGCTGGTGGTGCCGCATAATTATGTCAGTGTTAAATGGGTGATTTGGCTACATTCGTTTCCAATGCAAATGCATGAATGGCCACCACACATGGTCATAATATTTCGATTTTTGGAATATCTTAATTCAAGGAGAGGATGAAAATGCGCCATAATACCATTTGCATTTAACACATGGCCAGTAGTAGGGCAACAAATAGAAGCCCATGAGTAAATCCATTTCATGGGGAAATTGATTGCATATGTGGCTGGACATTTATATCTATTTTGTTGTTTGTGGATTTGCCAGTAAAATGTCAATTGATTGGAAAATCGTTTAATTTGATGTCATATCGAAATTGCAAATCTATGGGAGGAAAGCAATTGAAACAAATAACTGTTGCTAGATTTGAGTTTTTTCAACTGCAATTCTAGATTGTATTCCATTAATTTGTTTTTATTTTAACTATTTTAGCAGTGAAAAAAATATCCTGGAAAAAAAGAAATAAAAACATATAACTTTCAAATGTCGTTTACCAAATCCATGCCATGTTGAATGATATCTCCAGCGATTCTTCGAGTAATTTCAATTTTAATTTATCTTCGTCTTTGTCTCAAACAAAATTGAAATCTTTACTTAATTCTAATAAATCCAATTCAAATGAGTGCCAACCTTTGACTTCGTTACATGAAAGTGTCGGTGATGACAAGTGTTTAGATTCCAAAGATTTATTACTGTCCGTGTCAACAAATGGTGCTGAAAATTTAAGTTGGAAATTCTTCGAACAAGTTGATACTCTTGATCATCAGCTGAGAAATGATGAGGTGAGTTTTGGATTTTTAATAAATATTGTAAATATAAGCATAATTTAATAGATATAAGCATAACTTAATAAAGATTCTTGCAGATCAGAAACGAACTTGGATTTAAAAATATTGTTGTATGAAAGATAAATAAGCAAACATATGTTATCTTAGGATCAGCCTAGACAAAATATGCGATATTACACACTTTTAAATACAACAATATTATGATTCAAATAAATGTAGATTTCTTCAGTTTGAACCATTTTTGTGGGAGTTTGAAATATTTGAAAATGAAATTTAATATTTCAACATGGGGAACGAACCTTAAGTTGTTGTGGTAGCATATCTTATATTGAGGATTCTATTTAATGTATATACAGCCCTACTATGAATGATGTATATATCCATAGAGCTTATCACCAGACTATGGTCCTTTCATACTGGTATATTACTTTTATCAGTTTTATGAACAATTATTAATAAAAAAATGATAAAAATCATAAATATTGGCTTAAATATGATAACGTGAAATGCCTATTCACATAGAGATATAGGAATGTCTATACCTTAAAACCGATTTGGTAAAAAATACGTAAAATTAAATTAAGGTCAATATAATGAATAACACAAAATGATGTAAATGATTTTAAAATGTTTAAACAACCGAATATATTAAATACATGTACATCGAAGGTTGACTCTATCAAAACCATACTTTTATTATTCACCCACGAAGAATCAACATTCCAGCAAAACTTCTCATACATCAATCAGGACCTAATTTAGAACTCTGTGCAAAATTTCGTCTTCATCGGACAAATATTACATAAAATCGGACGAAACCATATATGGGAGCTATATTTAAATGTGAACAGATTTCAACAAAACTTCACGGACGTCAGCCTGCATTAATTTCAATACGCTGTGCAATTTTTTTTTCTCAATCGGGCACATATTGGCAGTATGGTGCTCCATTTACACAAAATCGGACGAAACAATATATGGAGGCTATATCTAAATCTAAACCGATTCCAACAAAATTTCGCGTAGATCAATCAATTCAGTACGCTGTGCAAAATGTTGTCCTAATCGGGCCAATATTGGGAGTTTGGTGCACCATTTACCTAAAATCGGACGAAACTATATTTGGGAACTATATCTAAATCTGAACCGATTTTCTTCAATTCCAATATAGCTCGTGCCAAAATTCAATCAAATCGGATCATAAATGCGATCTGTACTTTTTTTACAATTTAACACCAACAGATGGAAGAACGGACATGCATAAATCGACTCGGAAAGTGATTCTATGGATATTCTCAAAAGTAACCATGGGTCTATCTGGATTCGTTTTTTTTCTGTTACATATATATGCAGAAAGACATAATACCCTGTACCACAGTGTTGTGAAGGGTATAAAAACGTATTCGAATAGAATGCTCAATATAGGTCATTTTTAAACTGCTGTCTCACAAAACTTTTGCTTAATTTTCGGCATCATGAAATTCCTAGACCTGTTTCAAACTCGGAGCAAAAGAGGCCTGCTGTAAGACAACTAACAATGGATATAAATATAAAGATCCAACCGACTTAATGAACTTTGAATATACCATATTGTGAAGAGTGTTAAAAGTGGAATGTGAACAAATTTAGGAACAAAGAGCAAGAGTATCTGAAATATGCAATACAGTTTTTTATTGCGATATTGAATGTGTGTGTTCTACATATTCGGAAATAGAATATTATGCAAAATACCAACCAATTAGATAATAGGTATAGCTAAATGTACCTAAACTCCAATGAAGTCGTGGAATATAGCTCACAAAAATGGCAAACTTTCAAAAAATATTAAAATGAATTTGTTTTTTAACAAGTTTAATACTGTGTATTTTAATAGGAAACGTAATTTGGTATCTTTTGTGTGTTGTGGGTTTACAACACACACAATTGAGCACAAAAAGTCACACCTTAAGCTACTCTCGGATTTTTTGTTGAAAATTGTTGCATAGTTTTTACCAAACACTGCTTTTAATCAAGAAGTTTGCAGAGCCCATTGTAGCTAGAAAACTAATAAATCGATCAGCAAATATGTTTGTGAGATCTCAAACTCATTTGGCTCCACCGTTCTTTTGAAAGAACGCCAAAAATGTCAATACCACTGTATGGAAACAACCGTTATCTCAGTAAATTTCTATAAATGATTTTATTTTGTTGTTGTGTCATGCTAAAACTAAACTTTATTCAAAAATAGATATTTATTAATAAAATATTTTAAGTGAGTTATTTATACTCTTTCGAGCTTAATGATCGAAGTTTTGCAATAATTACTGAAAAGGCAAAATTCAAATTACGTTTTAAAATTAAATTTAAGATTTTGAAGAACAAATCGAAAGAGTATAAATAACTCACTTAAAATTACTTTCAAATAATTACTGCCCGTTTTCAATAATTTTATTTACGGATAAGTTTTGTTTTACGGAATTTGTCATTGCTCACGCAAACACACTAAATGTTGACCAATCATCAAGACGGTCATGTCTATTCGTTCGCGAGATCCCCTTCTCTTATAAAATTCCGTGATGTTCAGCCAGTCGATTTATGGATCGTAGGGCTAATGTTTCGTGGCGTTAAAAAAATCTTTGGGGTCTCACAGACAAAGTAAACTGAAAAGATTCCTGTATAGTGTATACAAATTAATTTCACACTACATATCAAATGATTACGAATTACACAAAATTTATAGAATAATCCATAATCTAATTTCTTCAAAATACTGAACATATGTACCAGCTTGACAAGCATTTTCCGAGTAAATTTTGGTATACCGAGAAGTAGGTCTGATTAAATATATTGCTTTATATAAAATCCTTTTTTGCTGAAGTCCTTCTCGTATTTCGTAATAAATAAAAACGTACTATCATAACAAAGTCATTTGTTGTATACAGACATTAAGCCAGACAGCATATCCATCCAGTCAAGATGTCGCAATCAATTTACATTTTAAGGCCCCTAACTGAATCATGGTGGAATTTGTTTGTTTGTCAACATTTTTGTTTCCAATTTTTCCCAAAATTAAATTAAGCAATAACTAAAAGAATTAAATAGTATTTTTTGCATGCATACACAAAAGGGTTAACATTGGGGTGTCACGAATATTTTACATTTCATTGAATTTTTCTTACAATAAAATAAATATAAAAGATTTTGACCCTAAGCATATTTGGATAAAATTCGTTTCAGATAATTTAAAGTCAATTTAAAACCAGTAAGGAAAATAGTAAAGTCGGACTGGGCCGACTATATGATACCCTTCACCACTTTGGGTATATTGTTAATATATATCCTAACAATTGCATGTCTGTGTTCCCTCTTCCTTACCCCTATCCTAACTTTAATTTCATTCAAGCAGATTTAGAGCCATCTGCGTAACATGGGGAGAAATGGGACCTTCATAAAATCGGAGGAAAATGTATATGGGAGATATGTTGAAATCTAAACCGATTTTCCCGAAACTCACCACTCATCATTCTAGACTCAATTCAGTACGCGATGCCAAATTTCGTGCAAATCGAAGGATATGAAGGGACTTTGGTGCATTATTTACCTAAAATCAGACGAAAATATATATGAGAGCTATATCTAAATCTAGACTTAATTCAGCACGCTATGCGAAATTTCATGCAAATGAAAGGATATAAAGGGTCTTTGGTGCACTATTTACCTAAAATCGGACGAAAATATATATGAGAGTTATATCTAAATCTGAACCGATTTCCACGAAATTTAACACCCATCGTTTTAGAATTAATTCAGTACGCTGTGCCAAATTTCATGCAAATCAAAGGATATATAAGGACGTTGGTGCATCATTTACATAAAATCGGACGAACCTATATATAGGTGCTATATCGAAATCTCGACCGATTTTCAGGAAACTTGACACACATCATTCTAGACCTAATTCATTACCCTGTGCCAAATTTCGTGCAAATCGAAAGATATATAGGGACTTTTGTACACCATTTACCTTAAATCGGACGAAAATATATATGGGAGTTTTATCCAAATCTGAACTGATTTTCAGGTAACTTGACACACATCATTTTAGACCTAATTCAAATTTCGCAAATCGAAATATGGGAGCTATATCTAAATCTGAACCGATTTTTCCCAATTTCTATATAGTTCGTCCTTGGGCCAAATAAGTGACCTATGCCAAATTTCATCCAATTCGGATTATAAATGCGACCTGTACTTTGTTTACTGGTGTACGAAGGCAGTTCGGAAATTTCTTAGCCTAGCACAATAAGCGTGGTATGACAGGAAAAAGTTAAATCTTTTGGAAACTTCCATCTCTGTTATGAACACAAGTTAAATTTTGATTCGATCTTGTAGCTCCTTCATATAGGAACAGGTGTTCAAAAAAGACGCATCCGCAATTTTTATATCCTTCACCACACTGTGGTACAGGGTAATACGTCTTTGTGCATATGTTTGTAACAGGCAAAATGAAACGTCCCTCTGTTGATGTTAAATTGTAAACAAAGTAAACGTCGCATTTATTATATGCACCAAAATCCCTAAATATCTTTTGATAAATATCTTTCGAAATTTGGCACAGCGTACTGAATTAAGCCCAGAATGATGTGTGCTAAGTTTCGTAAAAATTGCTTCAGATTTAGATAAAGCTCTCATATATATTTACGTCCGATTTAATTTAAATGGTGCGCCATTTACGAAATTTGTCTTAGCGTACTGAATTAACTCTAAAATAATGTGTGCTAAGTTTCGTGAAAGTCGGTTCAGTTTTAGATATAGCTCTTATATATATTTTCGTCTGATTTAAGACAAGTGGTGCACCGATTTAAGACAAATGGTGCACCAAATTCCTTATTTATATTTCGATTTGCACGAAATTTTTCATAATGTGTGTGCTATGTTTTCGGTTCAGATTTGGATATAGCCCTATATATTTCGTCCGATTTAATGTAAATGGTGCACCAAAGTCCGAATATATT